TATTTGATGACATTGGTTGTAGGTTAGGGGGAAATTTTAGCATGTCCCAACTCTATTATATTCATGTATGTTACCGGGCAAACCCGATTTTAGGATAAACTAGTTTTTCTTAGGACGAATATTAACCGGGATCGAAAAACTATATAGTTCACAAAATTCGGTAACGTGTACCCTATGCTTTCGGAGGTTCGGGTTCGATCTTGTTAGAAACTCTTGTTTTGGTAAAATCTTTTCTTAATTTTCATTTACAATAGGTATGGAATTTTGAAATATCACCAGACTAACCCCGAATATGGTTAATACTTTTTAAATTAGATTAGCCAAACATCACCTACCAAATTATATGCTTTTCGTAATAAAAAAATACAATAAAACTGTGTAATTTCCCAATATCGGTAGATATTGGACAGCGGCATCGCTAATTAAAAACGAGAGACAGTAATAAAATTGTTAAAACATAATTGAATCATTCCAAACACGTACATACCTAGTTTACCACCAGTGTATAAGAAATAATGCATATTAAAATGGAGTCCCCCTAACCTATGCCCTTCCATTCTGGGGTACTTGCTGCGCAACAAAATTTGATCGTGTTTTCATACTTCAAAAGAGAGCAGTTCGATATTTATTGGGACTGAACAGTAGAACTCACTGCCAGAATTTCTTTAAAATTTTGAAAATACTGACTCTTCCTTCTTTATTCATTTTTGAATCCGTTTGCTTAATCCGCAAGCACATACCTGCTATTCCCGAAAAGCCATCTCATAACTATCCACTTAGGAATGCAGAGCACGATCTTTATCTGCCAACCCCGAGCTCAGAACTAGTTAAGGGTTCAATACTGTACAATGCCAAAAAAATGTACAATCATCTGCCTTTGAATATCAAATCGCTTTCGTTCTTTCCCGCATTTCGCAAGGCTCTAAAATCATACCTACTGGAGAGAGCCCTATATGCGGTAAACGACTTTTTTGTTGATGTTTAATTATGAACAATTTTGAATTTTAAAATTTTTATCATCTCACACACTGGTCAAAGGTCAAGTATTTAATATTCTATAACTTTAAAATTATATCTATTACTGCGTACTGTTCTAAAATTGTCCATGTATATTCTTTTTGTAATTTTAAAGACTTAAATTTTTTTGAATTGTATTATTTGTATTGTGTATTTTTTGTTGTTTGTATTTTTTTGTGATTTTGTTGTTTGTGAGTGCTTTGTCGATGAAGCTGTTTTGGCTTTTTGCACAATAAAGCGTTGTTTGTTTGTTGTTGTTGTACCGATTACCTCAAACCAATGTCATCAAATAATGTAGGATTATTGCTAAAAGTTCCTTGAAATTTTGGGATCAAGTCCGTCATCTCCCATGCCTGAAGAAGGTCCTCCATTTTAACATATCACAAGCACAAAAGATAACAAAAAAACTTTATATAAAGTACCCGGCGCGTCTCGTGTCGCAGAAGAGAAACAGAAACCCAATGAAATGAAGATAGGAATCAGGAATGCACTGTTGCGTTGTTGCTGTTGGGGATGGTCACTTAATATAAGAATAGTATAGCCGTCCGTGCCATAGCTATACGCCTTCTTATCTCTGCTTCGCAGCCCCCATTATTTGTTATTAAAGACCCTAAGTATATAAATTGATCTACTCTTTCTATATTAGGGAGGAGGTTGTGTAATCGAACTGCACCACTTCTATCAATCAGCATGAGTTTGGTTTTATCAATGTTTATTTCTAGACCAAGATTATTGCTTTCGATGGTAACTCTTTCCAGCAACCGGGCCATTTCTTCCTCACTTTTCGCTATCAGGGTGGTATCGTCCGCGTACCTGAGGTTGTTTAGGAAGCTAGGCATTACTTAGTTGCTTAACCAGAAACCAGAAATAATAAATAAATAGACTATTTTTTAAATAATTTAGTGCATATATGTTGTTCATGAGGCGCATTACCGTGGATTATAAGCCGATAAATGGTAGACTGCTAGTTAGTCACTATTTTATATTTTTTGATTAGGTATATTGTAATTAATTGTAATATTAGACACATATTAAAACAAAATATTTGTGTGTAACCTTCTAGGAATAACCAATTTAATTTATACCATCGGTAACTGTTTTCATATCAGTTTTTCAATGTTTACTTATTTTTCTGAAGCCACCACAACTTTTGACCTTGCTTCGTGCTATTTCACAAAATAGTACGATAAATATAAGCCCGTGTTATAAAAATTAGTTCCCACGTTTCCTGAAGTAGGCCTAGTCGGCAAGTGCATCGAAGGCGGGAGCAAATCCGGCCAAGCTGGAATAAGTTTTATTTTGTTTAGTTTGGTGTCGAGAAGCACGTATTAAATTTGCACTCCCCGTAAAGCCCGGATTTGGCCGCCATCTTGGAAAAATTGGCTAAAATTCGGTTTATTTTTCATTATTTGTCAAAAACTCGATTTCTATCAACTTTAGTGCAAAATATGTAGAGACCAAAATTAAAGAAGAGGAAAAACGTTGTATGGTTTTTTTTTCGTGCGACTACCCAAAGTATCGAATTTTACGAAAACAAAATTAAAGTTTGATATAATGTATGTGTTCAATATATCCGGGGTTAACTGTACTTGTTTCCACACCACCTTGAGCGGCACCGCCGAGACATAAAGCCTAAAAACTTGTTTGCTACTGTTTGGCAGTAGCCTGCTGTCGCGGACATAATGGAAGAACGCAATTTGCATTATGACCGCAATAACGGACTAAATTTTTATTGTTGCGCGACTGATGGCAAACCAAGTTTAACCGCCTTATCTCTCAGGGAGCTGCCTTGAAAGCCTTGTAAAGTACCCGGCGCGTTTTTTTTTGGTGTGACTGGTCCCCCCATTTCCAATAGGCCTAATCCACATGTCGTCAACTTAGGTTTCTTTTGAGGTGGAAGGTTCATCAGAGTTCCTTCGTTTTTTTATGTTACATATTCCGGATCTGGATCATAAGGTGCAGAATATTCTTTTCGTTGATCTTTTTCTTATATAGAGGAAAATTGTCCGAAAGAAAAAAGAAAATCTTCGTCTAATTTTGCCTTTTAACTATTCGAACATGATTTGCCCTGACAAAGTGCACACATTACCGAGCTACGCAAACCTGCTTTGCGGTAACTACAAGATGTATTACAACCTTTGGCACATTTCCATGAAATCAGATTTAATAATTCTTGGGGAACTGCATCTTGAGACGTGGATTTTTTGAATTTTTCCATCCCCAATCTAGAGGTGATTTTTCATTCCTATACCATAGCTGTACCTGACTGTACGTACGGAAGGAGTATACAAGCGAGCTGCGTCTTTGGTCGGTGGTAATGATGCTAGGTTTGGTAAGCTTTTGGTAATAGATGTTACGAAACGCTGGTATATGTACTTATCTAATGAGTCGCATTTTTTGGATCCATATAGATGAAAAAGAAATCGTTCTCCAGCTGTTTCTATATCTTGCTGTGGATGCGTTTGCAACAAGTTCTTTCTGCAACCAATAACAGACGACTACTATTTAATTGTGTCTCCAGCAGTCGATCAGCGATCGTACATGACCTTGAGTTAAAGGTTCCGCTTAACAATAGCTTTGTTCGGGTTCTTATTATTACCGATTTTGAACTGTCCTAGGACACTGCCGCGCATGCGCTAATGAAATAATTTCTCCGTATTTCCTTCTGCCCATGCGTATCACAGCTCTAGGACGGTTCAGAATCGGTAGTAAAAAAACCCGAAATAAGCTAATAGGAGTAAGGTTCTCGAAAAGACAAAAACTGCCCAGAATAGAGGAAATAATAACTGCTTATAACATATTTAGCATGTTTAAACCGAGATAACTTGGAAACGGGTCGTCGCACGGAAAAAGTATATAGAACGTTTTTTATAGAGTTTTTCCTTTTCTTTAATTTTTGTTCATACATTTTTGCACTAAAGTTGATAGAAATCGAGTTATTGACAAATAATGAAAAATAAACCGAATTTTAGACACTTTTTCCAAGATGGCGGCTAAATCCGGGCTTTGGGGGCGGTGGTGCAAATTTAACACGTGGTTTCTTACACTAAACTAAACAAAATAAAATTTATTCTAGCTTGTCCGAATTTGCTCCCGCCATAAGCTATTTTTTAATACTTGGCGACTGGCCTAAAATAGATCGAAAGGTAGGCTAGCTGGAGGAACCGCTATCTAGAACCGAATCGAGAACCGCTATCTAAGAGCGCGACGGCTGGAGCGAACACGTCACGATCGCGATCCCGCGACGCTACGTACATACCAGTTGCAGGTTCCAGTTACTATTGTTGGCGACCGACGAAATCGCGACTCTAGGAGCGCGATGGCTGGGGCTAAACACGTCGCTATGGTTACTACGGTTCGAGCTAGCTTCAAGTGCGATTATAAATAATTTATTTCCAAATTATAAATTATTTATAATTTGGAAATAAATTATTTATAATCGCACTTGAAGTTAGCTCGGGCTAAAAATAGCTCAGAACGAAACAAAATTGAACGAGCCAACAAGAAACGCCAAAAAAAATTCCCCACGCCCTTTTCACGAGTAGTTTTCAGGCGTTTTTAAGAAACGAAAGTATGTCGAGGCAAACCGAAGAGGGGCAAGATATTATCTCATCAAATTATAAATAATTTATAATTTTGTTGTCATTAAGACCGTCGTTTTTCAGTAACAGGTTACTGATTAATTGTGGAGCGCCACACGACGGCGACGCGCGACGTTACAAAAAAAATACCGCTCCTAAATCGCGTTACTCAAATACCGACACATTATTATTGTAGCATTCTCTGGGGCCATATTATAAATTTTACTAATTTGAAGATCATTTTGTTGATTTACAAATGCTCGTAGCTTTTTAATCATAGTAGCTTTTTACGAGCATGAAATTGATTAGATTACATAATAAAGATTTTTTATCTTATAACTTTAAAAATACAATCGGTTAAAGTGTGATTTATGTTTGCAATAAAAGTTAGGGGTATAAAAAAATTTTAAATTGATTTTTTGGCGTTTCTGTTACACACAAGTCCATAAAACTGATTGTGGAATCGGCCGTGCACTAAAATGAAATGGCACAGCTTAAAGGACATTTGTTACTTGTGTTTTTAATAGTGGTAAGTATATTTTAAAAGATCATAAGCAGTATATACACTCAACGGTACGAAAAACGGGCACCAATGTTGATGTATTTTAAAGTTTTTTTTGAAACAGAATTGAAAAAATGTTAACATATTCCACAGGGTCTTTCAAGCTTTCACCAAAATATTAACAATTTGTTTGCCCCCGTATAATTGACAGACAGGGACTTTCATTTTTAATTTAGAAAGACATACTAAAAAGTCGAATAATTTTGCTACAAATTGCTTAAAAAATTATCAAAATCGACCCACTAGTACCGTATGATCGAAAAAAAACGGCGTCTAGTTGGCTTGGAAATGACGATCGATGACATTTCCTATACAATTTTACATATAAAATGACAGCGATTTTCATTTCATAGCCATCGCTGACGCCGTTTTTATTCGATCATACGGTACAAATATATTAAACTTTATAATAATACATCAACATTTTCGTGCCGGTGAGTGTATACAGGGTGTCCCAGAAATAAGTGCAAGTATTTTAAGTAGTGGTAGATCTGGTCAAAAAAAATATTTTTTCTCTTTACCATTTTTTAAATAAGTCCAAAATAACCGAATTATTTTACTTTGAAAATTTAATCAAAAAATGCTTTTTTGCTTAAATTTTCAGATCCACTGGATCTTTTCTAGATTTTCTTTCCTGTAAATTTAATCCACTACCTGTGTTGCCATATTATCAAGAAATTACGTTTTTTTAACTTAAAACTAAAAACATTTCCAAAAATTTTTCAAATTGCAAATTTTTAAAAATGCAGGTCCGTATTTAAAAAATATAATTCGGCACTCTGTATAACCCAATAAAAAACCCAGCACCCTTATAAAAACATTGATTGTAGCACCCTGTATAACTAGAAATTAAAACAAAGTATTTTCTAGGTGTCCGTTCAGATAAGTTACACTAAAGGTTTTGGTTTTCCCGGACGTTTTGTTGAACAAGTACGAGGGAGAGGACCAGGACCAATACTAGATAACAAAGATGCAATAATAGATAGGCAAAAAGACAGATGGCCGCAGAATAGAGCCCTAGTTAGAGGAGACAGAGTACCAGGAGCAATACTAGACAACAAAGATGCAATAATAGATCGGCAAAAAAATAAGTGGCCGCAGAATAGAGCCCAAGTTACAGGAGACAGATTACCAGGAGCAATACTAGACAACAAAGATGCAATAATAGATAGGCAAAAAAATAGGTGGCCGCAGAATAGAGCCCAAGTTACAGGAGACAGAGGACCAGGACCAATACTAGATAACAAAGATGCAATAATAGATAGGCAAAAAAATAGGTGGCCTCAGAATAGAGCCCAAGTTACAGGAGACAGATTACCAGGAGCAATACTAGACAACAAAGATGCAATAATAGATCGGCAAAAAAATAAGTGGCCGCAGAATAGAGCCCAAGTTACAGGAGACAGATTACCAGGAGCAATACTAGGCAACAAAGATGCAATAATAGATAGGCAAAAAAATAGGTGGCCGCAGAATAGAGCCCAAGTTACAGGAGACAGAGGACCAGGACCAATACTAGATAACAAAGATGCAATAATAGATAGTCAAAAAAATAGGCGGCCGCAGAATAGAGCCCAAGTTACAGGAGACAGAGGACCAGGACCAATACTAGATAACAAAGATGCAATAATAGATAGGCAAAAAAATAGGTGGCCGCAGAATAGAGCCCAAGTTAGAGGAGACAGAGGACCAGGACCAATACTAGATAACAAAGATGCAATAATAGATAGTCAAAAAAATAGGCGGCCGCTGAATAGAGCCCAAGTTACAGGAGACAGAGGACCAGGACCAATACTAGATAACAAAGATGCAATAATAGATAGTCAAAAAAATAGGCGACCTCAGAATAGAGCTCAAGTTACAGGGGACAGGGGACCAGGACCAATACTAGATAACAAAGATGCAATAATAGATAGTCAAAAAAATAGGCGACCGCAGAATAGAGCTCAAGTTACTGGAAACAGAGGACCAGGACCAATACTAGATAACACAGATGCAATAATAGATAGGCAAAAAAATAGGTGGCCGCAGAATAGAGCCCAAGTTACAGGAGACAGAGGACCAGGACCAATACTAGATAACAAAGATGCAATAATAGATAGGCAAAAAAATAGGTGGCCGCAGAATAGAGCCCAAGTTACAGGAGACAGAGGACCAGGACCAATACTAGATAACAAAGATGCAATAATAGATAGTCAAAAAAATAGGCGACCGCAGAATAGAGCTCAAGTTACTGGAAACAGAGGACCAGGACCAATACTAGATAACACAGATGCAATAATAGATAGGCAAAAAAATAGGTGGCCGCAGAATAGAGCCCAAGTTACAGAAGACAGAGGACCAGGACCAATACTAGATAACAAAGATGCAATAATAGATAGGCAAAAAAATAGGTGGCCGCAGAATAGAGCCCAAGTTACAGGAGACAGAGGACCAGGACCAATACTAGATAACAAAGATGCAATAATAGATAGGCAAAAAAAAATAGGTGGCCGCAGAATAGAGCCCAAGTTACAGGAGACAGAGGACCAGGACCAATACTAGATAACAAAGATGCAATAATAGATAGTCAAAAAAATAGGCGGCCGCAGAATAGAGCCCAAGTTACAGGAGACAGAGGTCCAGGACCAATACTAGATAACAAAGATGCAATAATAGATAGTCAAAAAAATAGGCGGCCGCTGAATAGAGCCCAAGTTACAGGAGACAGAGGACCAGGACCAATACTAGATAACAAAGATGCAATAATAGATAGTCAAAAAAATAGGCGACCTCAGAATAGAGCTCAAGTTACAGGGGACAGGGGACCAGGACCAATACTAGATAACAAAGATGCAATAATAGATAGTCAAAAAAATAGGCGACCGCAGAATAGAGCTCAAGTTACTGGAAACAGAGGACCAGGACCAATACTAGATAACACAGATGCAATAATAGATAGGCAAAAAAATAGGTGGCCGCAGAATAGAGCCCAAGTTACAGGAGACAGAGGACCAGGACCAATACTAGATAACAAAGATGCAATAATAGATAGGCAAAAAAATAGGTGGCCGCAGAATAGAGCCCAAGTTACAGGAGACAGAGGACCAGGACCAATACTAGATAACAAAGATGCAATAATAGATAGTCAAAAAAATAGGCGACCGCAGAATAGAGCTCAAGTTACTGGAAACAGAGGACCAGGACCAATACTAGATAACACAGATGCAATAATAGATAGGCAAAAAAATAGGTGGCCGCAGAATAGAGCCCAAGTTACAGAAGACAGAGGACCAGGACCAATACTAGATAACAAAGATGCAATAATAGATAGGCAAAAAAATAGGTGGCCGCAGAATAGAGCCCAAGTTACAGGAGACAGAGGACCAGGACCAATACTAGATAACAAAGATGCAATAATAGATAGGCAAAAAAATAGGTGGCCGCAGAATAGAGCCCAAGTTACAGGAGACAGAGGACCAGGACCAATACTAGATAACAAAGATGCAATAATAGATAGTCAAAAAAATAGGCGGCCGCAGAATAGAGCCCAAGTTACAGGAGACAGAGGTCCAGGACCAATACTAGATAACAAAGATGCAATAATAGATAGTCATAAAAATAGGCCACCGCAGAATAGAGCTCAAGTTACAGGGGACAGAGGACCAGGACCAATACTAGATAACAAAGATGCAATAATAGATAGTCAAAAAAATAGGCGACCGCAGAATAGAGCTCAAGTTACTGGAAACAGAGGACCAGGACCAATACTAGATAACACAGATGCAATAATAGATCGGCAAAAATATAAGTGGTCGCAGAATAGAGCTGGAGAAAAAACAGACGTCTTGTCATCAGAAGCAGCGACTACAACAAAACCTGATAAAGCAGTCGCGAGAAAACTAAGAGTTTATCCTTTTTCAGACAATTCCCATAATGCACCGGAAACTAATCGAAATGAAAAAATTCTCAAATCAGAAAATAATGAAAATGGAGAGGTCCCTGAATCAGAAACAAATCGAAATGAAAATAGAACTAAAGTATCTGTAGCTGATGAGAAGAATGAAGAATCACCGTTGAGTACACCGGCAACTCCCAACGAAGAACAGGATGAACTAGAAAGTCAGAATTTACCAATCAGAATAAGGGTTAAACTTCGAAGAGCAGTAAACAAAAATTTTTCTACTGTTAAGAAAATCTTATCCAAAGTTTTGCCCCACTTAAATAACTTACTGAGATATATCAAGGATGTGTGGATTCGTAACCTTTTAGTATTTGTTGAAAAACTTGCCACAACATGGATGGTTAGGAAAATTCCGTTTTTTTACATACCTCTCATTTTGGTGTATTCAGTTCTGCACATAGCGAATAGAGTTCTTAAATCTACTCTGGAGATAAATAAACTAAAACATAAAATATTAAAGAAATTACAAAAAATATTTAATAACGACTTCGACTTGGTATTGTCTATATTTCATTGATAATCTAGAGAGTTTTTGGATGCATAATATATTTTTGATGTACTGCTTAAAGGAACTGTTTAACACCTCTTAAGTGTTTTGGTTCATCTATTTTTCTGGGAATAAAAACTTTTCATCGCTTAAATGTTTTTTTTTTCAATAAGGTTTTTGTCTTACAAGTGTCACAGACCGGGAGGTGAAATATTTAAAAATATATTAAGAAATGATTGAGGGCACTAAGTAATTTAGATTCTAGTAAAATTAAAATATATGACTGTTACATATATAGATTCACTTCCAACAAACATTGCAGTTCAGTTATTAGCTTTCACGTGTTTATTTGGTAAAGAAATATGTGTATACTATTTAAAAAAATTGTTTACCTACAATTTAATGTTTACTTTTTTTTGCTGTCAGGGTTAATTTGGAAGGGACCTTCTTTATATAGGCGGGCTCCAAACCGCAGTCCTCAGGTTACAGTTGAGAGTTGGAACCTTTGGTGTTAAACAGCAAAATAAAACACTAAATCACCACAACACACCAAAACACTTTTACTTTTACACTGGACGCGCGTTTCGCTAACCATGTTAGCATCATCAGCAGATGATTATTACTGACTAGTTTATAATCATCTGCTGATGATGCTAACATGGTTAGCGAAACGCGCGTCCAGTGTAAAAGTAAAAGTGTTTTGGTGTATTGTGGTGATTTAGTCCTCAGGGTTATACTGAATTACTCATTCACTTGGAGAGTGTCTAAATCAACTATTACTCAGGAGCTATTTGACTTTATCTTATCTGCTTCTAACCTGCGTTATTGGCCAGTGCGTCTCAGTAGATTTAATTGTCTTGCTTTTGAAAATTACGACGAATTTTTCATAGTCTTCCGGAGTACGTCACCACACTGGTTGGAGCCAATATCATGACGTAGCTAGATCATTCTAAACTAGTTAACAATTTCGCCACTGAATCAATAGAAAATGTATTTCAATTAAAAAATCCTGCATAAATTTAAAATATAAAGATAAATAAAATTGTACAGTTAATACAGATGCCTGCAACTCAGAATAGAGCTGAAAAAAAACAGACGACTGTATAGACTATATATATATATATATATACAGGGTGTCCCAGAAATGAGTGCAGATATTTTAACTGGTAGTATAGTTCAACCCCAGAAACACGCCTATGAGTTTTTTTTTGCGAAAAAAAAATGTTGAAAATTTTATATTTTTCTTGACATTTTCCGGAAAATGTTGAAAAACTTTTTGTTCACTCCCCGGGAAATTCCTTTACCGGGCATAGAACTATTTGTCGGAGAGAAATGCAACGTTGCCACCTCCTACCATACCCACATTCTGCATGTTTATCTATAAATTCAATTATTTTAAGTTGCTACAGAAAAAAATACGAAAATTAATTTTATTCATATTAGTGTAGATTGCTCTACTAATTCTAGAGAAACGCGCAATATTTTAAATACTTTTTACAGTGGAGTAAACTGAAAAAATAAATCTTAACAATTATAAAAAAAATATTTTTTACGTGTAAAAAACTATTTGTTACACGTAAAAAACTATTTTTTACGCGTAAGAAAACATTCCTTTAATTTATTACTTTTTCAACATTTCAAACTACACTTTTTCAAACATTTCCTTCAAATTTTTGAATTTAATAGAATCTTCCTAAACAGTAGATGTTCTTTATAAAAATATTTTTAGATAATACCCTAAAATGAAAAAAAAATGCACACTATTTAATTTATTTTTATTGTATTATTAAATATAACATCCGCCACGGGGTCTCATCTTAGAAAACGCTAAAGACGCTACAGAAAACAAACTGATTTGTTTTCATTTGCGTTTTTTGCGAGACACGCCGAACGCTACACGCTTTTGGTGTGGCCACTCCTATATAATCCTGTTATTTTGTTTTAGTCGCTAAAAACGCTTTACGCTAAAAACGCAAAAAACGCTTTCTGTGTGGCCGTGGGCTTACGCTTCGTCCTACGTGACAAAAGCGAGCGTGCGACAACAGAGTGCGATGAGCGCGACTCGCGCGACATATTTCAATTGCCTGCGATGCTGCTTCAGTCGCTTTCATCTCCTACCTAGGACAGCATCGTAAGAAAACGTTGTTTGATAAATACGCGTCGCTCGGACCGCCCGAATCGCGCGCTTTTGTCTCCCACGTAGGACGAAGCGTTAAGGTGCGTATTCATTATCCGCACGAACGAACGAACGAATGTTCGCTAGTGGTATGGACGGGGACCGCACGATAGAACCGCACGAGAAGACCGCACGCATTTCTTCATTCGCGCGCCAGTTCAAATCGTCAAGATATTGTTATAAACCTGTTTTTTTTTGTTTATATACCGTCACTGAATTATCGCTAAGCAAGTTACTATGGAGCAGTGCATAAGGAGTCGGGCTAGGAAGCGAGAGACCGGAGTTCGAATCTCGGCCAGAACATCACTTTTTATTTTTTTTTTAAATACTGTTGTATTCTATAGTTTATTTTTGTAGTATAAGAAAAAGAACTATTTATTCTGTTTTTTTAATCTCCGTTATTAATATAAATTGATTGTTAGTACAATACCTCATTTAATATAAAATAATATTCTACTTTTTGAAATGTATCGGGCCCTAATTGTACCTAAAAGTAATATATTTTTAGTGATATACCATATTGTAAACTATTTAATATTTTAGTCACTTAAAAAGTTAATTTGCATTGAATAATTGCCTACCATTAAAGGAAATTTGAGCTATATAATCCTTGATGGGCATATTCTGGGTATGCAAATACTTCCTTTAAATTTTGGGTGTCGTTCAACCGATTTATTCTCAAAACCAGAAACTTCTACATATAAAAAGAAGCAGAGGTCACTAATTATAATAAACTTCACCCTTGGTATTACTTCCACTAATTATAATAAACTTCACCCTTAGAATTACTTCTATCACAATTACAATACGTTCATCTGCATTGGCATTTTCTACTTTTCGATGGGAAACAATAAACTTCCCAATATTTTTTAAATGATGTAACAATTCCTCTTGTGGTTACTTTTCCATAGATATCCTCAACTCTGTCCTCATGTGAATTCAGAGGCAATGAAAATGAAAATTATTTACCATAAACATCGCAAACTAAAAAC